TCCTCCCTCCTCCTCCTCCTCCTCCTTCTTCTCCTCCTCCTGTGGTGGTCCCTGGGCCTCGGTGGTGGTGGTCCCTGGGCCTGCTCAGCACCGAGCACTTCGCTCTCGGTGGTGGTGGTGGTCCCTGGGCCTCGGAGAGGCCTTCCCGGAGCACTTCGCCCTGCTGCGGCCCGCGGGCGCTCCTGGCGCGGGCGCCCCTGGCGCGGCGGCGACCGCCCCAGCCGTGGCCTTCCCCATGGCCGCGGGCGACTGGGGCCGCTTCCAGGCCGCGACGTGCTCCCTGGAGCCGGTGGTCAGCACGCGTCGGCCGTTGAAAGCAGGCGCGTCTGGATGCCCAGGTCCCAGTTCTAGCGCCTTCCTGCTTCAAGAGTCGGCGCGATCCTGACTCGTTCGGTTCCTCTCTGGGAGGGCCTGAACCTAAGCTGCTTCAGCCGCCTTCCTACTTCATGTTTTTAGCTGCTTCTTCCGACCGTGGTGTATCGTTGAACCTATCCCCATCTCCTCTGGGCCATGGTCTCTCTCACCACCCCACCACTCTACTTGGGGATGGGCCTCTCGACGCCAGGAGAGAACAGCCTATATCACAGCATAGGGAGGTCAATCGGCAAGCGGGGCCAGGCCACGCCAGTGGGGATACGACGACGACGACGCTCGCGCCCCTGCGAACAGCACCGCCGCCAGCCAGGGAAGCACATACACCGCTCCTGGGCCCAGGATGGGCCGGGCCTTTGGCCGTGGATGTGAGTGAGCGCGGGCCTGGCTTGACGTCGGCGCTGTTCGCAGAAGCGCGAGCGTCTCGTCGTCGTCGGCGTCGTCGTCGGCGGCGGCGGCGTCGTCGTCGTCGTCGTCGTCGTCGTCGTCGGCCTCGGCGTCGTCGTCGTCGGCGGCGGCGGCGTCGGCGTCGTCGTCCTGCAGGTGGGCGCGCCCGCGGCGCCGGCCGCGGCGCCGCCGCGGAGCGGCGCGGAGGCCGCTCAGGCCCTCGGGGCCCTGCTGGGCCTCGAGCCCGAGGAGCTGCAGCTGCTGCTGGCCGGCCTGAGCAACGTGACGCGGCACTCGGAGGAGGAAACCCAGACGTCTGGCCGCCCCAATTGATGGTAATGGTGATGGTGATGGTGATGGTGATGGTGATGGTGATGGTGATGGTGATGGTGGTGGTGGTGGTGGTGGTGGTGATGGTGATGGTGATGGTGGTTGTGGTAATGATGATGAGGAGGAGGTGGAGGAGGAGGAGGAGGAGGAGGAGGAGGAGGGGGAGGAGGGGGAGGAGGGGGAGGAGGAGGAGGAGGAGGAGGAGGAGGAGGGAGGAGGGAGGAGGGAGGAGGGAGAAGGAGGAGAACCTGAGTTTTCTGGGAAGCTCGCAACAAGAAACATTCGGGGCGCCAGGACCCAGACACCTGGCCGCCCCAGTGTTTTCGGTGCGTGGCCCCCAGAGGTCCTGACCACTTCCCCAGGGCCGGCTTGTCGTCCCGAGCCGTTTGTTGCCGGTCCCGAGGCCCGGCGAGGGCCCCCGAAGGCCGAAAGCGGCAAGAAAACGGCCGCGCCAATGTTTGGTCGGCGCGTCGGATCTCTGGGAGAACCTGGCACCGCTCGGGCGTGGCAGTCGCCGAGGGGGCTCGCGACCTGCCCGGGAACGTGCGGATTCATTACCGGGGGCCCATCGCCGATCTATCGGCGATGTATCGCCCATTCGAGGTCGATGTCCCCCCCCCCCCCCTAGGCCAGTGCCCCCTATCCCAGGCGGTCCGCAAACATGGATGAGGGGGCGTGGATCAGCGACGGGCCCCGCTTCCATGGAGAATCACGGATTTCAGCCGCCGAACGAGGCGGCACGGGCCTCATTTTGGGGAGGGCACCTCCCCCGATCCATGGCATTTGGCGACGGCGCGCCAGACCACGGGTCGCTCATCAATGCTTGGAACTACGCTGCCCCTCCGCTCCCGGGTCGGCCCTCGTCGCCACCGCTGGATCGCCACGAGCGCGCCTGGAGCGGGTGCCGCTGGGCCGCGGAGTGGGTCGGCGCGCCCTGGGGCGCATGCGGCCCGGAGGTCCGGGGAGAGAGATGGAAAGGTTTACGACGCGGAGGTTCGCGCAGTGACCGTCGGGGAGGAGGCGGAGGAGGAGGAGGAGGAGGAGGAGGAGGAGGAGGAGGAGGAGGAGGAGGAGGGTAGGAGGAGGAGGAGGAGGAGAGGCGGAGGAGGAGGATGAGGAGGAGGAGGAGGAGGAGGAGGAGGAGAGGGAGGAGGAGGAGGGGGGGAGGAGGGGAAGGAGGAGGAGGAGGAGGAGGATGAGGCGGAGGAGGAGGAGGAGGAGGAGGAGGAGGAGGAGGAGGAGGAGGAGGAGGAGGAGGAGGAGGAGTGTCGGCCCCAGGCCCCCTTGGGGCCGTGGCAGAAAATCACGACGGGGGGAGGTTTTTCTTTTTGTTCTCGTCGGTCTCGGGGGGCCCGCGCCGCGCTTCGGGACCGTCCAGGAACGACTCGGGGCGAAAAACCGGTCCCAGGGAAGGGCTCGAGACCTCTGGGGGTCGACGCTGGCATGACGTCGGGGCTCTGGGGATGCCGCTGCCTTTCCTTCGTTGTCGCTCCCTTTTTGGTTGGGCCTCCTGGGAGGCCGGCCCTCGTCGCCACCGCTGGACTCGCCCCGAGATCCTTGTCAGCGCGCACCGCGGTGGAAGTCCAGGAGGGAACTCCCCAGACATGCTCGCATCGCACAAAAGTCGACTGGACGTAAGAGTGACCTCTCGCCAGAGTGACCTTTGGTGTGGGCGCAGATGGGTCCCCAGATGGCTGAGAACGAAGCGGTAGCAGCGGCTTGCGCGCCCAGGTTTGGCCCCCCCGCGGCCCCCCAAAAGCCGCGCACCACAGGTCACTCTTACCCAGGGTCACTCCTGCGGGACGGATGCTTTTGTCGCCCATTCCCCAGGACCAGCTTGTCATCCCGAGTCGATGCTTGGCGGTCCCGAGGCCCGGCGAGGGCCCCCGGGGGCCGAAGTCTGCGCAAAACCTCCGCCTTGATTTTTTCAACGCGTTGGACCTCTGGGTATGTAAAGAGTCGGGAGGTCGCAGGAATCGCTCGGACGTGGCATCGCTCGCCACAGGGATCACACCACAGGTCGCGTCGAGCGCGAGCCGACTCCCGGCTCCCCTCGCCGGGCCCTCTCCCGCTCCGGGGGCCCGAGGCCCGGGGCAGGGGAGGCGGAGTGGCTCGGGGGAGGTGGTTCGGGGGCGGAAAAGAGGGGGGTGATGACTAGGGGGGGGTGGATATCATGGCGAGGGCCATGATATTTCCCCAGATTTCGTGGCGCCCCTTCTGATTTCCTTACGTCCCTGGTCCCCCCGCTGGGCCGCGCACATGGCCGCCGGTCATGATTTGCACCCCCCCCTCTTGGACGCCCCCCTCTTTGCCGCTCCCGAGTGGTGCGCAGGCCTGCGTATACTTAAGTCGGGCCTGTCCCCCTACAGGGGGGCTCTCGACGAACAATAGAAAATACCCCCAAAAATAGGCAAAAAGATAGTCCAAAAATAGAGTCTGGGGACTATTTTTGGGGTATTGTTTGACCTTTTTGGGGTATTTTTGGGATACTTCCGACATAACTTGAAAATCTTGGGTATTCTTTGACCGTCGAAAATCCCCCTGTAGGGGGACACGTCCGACATAACCGTATACGCAGGCCTGTGGCGGGATGGTGATGGAGGTTGGCCTCAAGCGACAAATGGCCAACATGGCCAAGCTTGTCCGCGTGAGCCAAGCTCACGGCTGCACCGTCTGGTGCAGCGGCAGAACACCAGAAAACAAGACACCAGAAACTTCGGGTTTTAAGAAAGAGCAGCAAGACTTTCTTGTTTCCGAAACATAAGACAAAAAAAACAAGCTTCTCTGCGTAGGCAAGGCGCTGTGGCAGAATTGCCACCCCCACCTCGACCCCAGTCATGTTTCTCGGCGAGGACCACCGTGCGAAGAAGAAACACCCACGTGAACATAAAGTTTTGGCGCTCCGCGCGGACGTCTTGGATCTGCGCCTGGGCCCCCCGGCGGCGCCTCCGGCGCCGCCCCTGGCGCGCTCCGCGCGCCAGGGAGGGGGGTCCAGCGCGAATCGAAGAAATCCGCGCGGAGCGCCAATAGTTTATACCTATTTTCTTGTTCTTCTAATCGAGGAGCATCTCGGATCATGCTGCGGAAGAGTAGACGCCCGAGGCCAGGGGGAGTGGGCGTCCGAACGATCGCAAGGGAAAAGGCAGCGATGCCGCTGCCCTTTCTGAGGAGCCTTCGTCGCCACGGCTAGATTATCATCAAGTCGGGCCTGTCCCTCTACGGGAGGAAGATTCAAAAATAGTAAACACATAGTTTGGAGACGATGTTTGGACAATTTTGAGGAACTTTCTGAGTATTTCTAATTTTTCGCCCAGAATCCACATGTGGACATGCCCGGCCTAAGGTTATCCTCGAGGTTCTGGTCAGAGCACGCCCCGGGAGAGGTCCAGGGAGTACAGTGGAGGGCCCATGGGAAGAAACACCCTGCTTGCCTCCGGGGCGCCCTGGGTTTCTTGGGTTTCGACGGTTTTGCCATGGAAGGCGGGACGTGCCCACACGAAGAATCCATGGACGTCCTGGGATCTCAGGGTTCGGTCTCTTGTGGAAGGCTTTCGGGGGTGGACAGAACCCCCAACAGTAACACGTCGATTAGTGAATTGTCCGTCTTCGGTTTTCGGGAGGGCGCCGTGGCCGTTGTTTTCCAGGTGTGCGCCCGCCAGGTTTGGGCCTCAGGTCGTTTTCACTAAACCACGTTTTGCTAAAGGGGGGTATGTCCATCCCCGAGGCTTCTTGTGGACTGGCCTCCACTGCATAGCGGCGTGGGTACCTCTGGATCTCCTTCAGGCACCTGCCGGCCGAGGCCGACGGGGTGCGGGGCGCCCCCTGCGACACGCCCAGGAGCTGCGGCCAGGGCGCCCTGCTTCGCTGGTGCACCATGGGGGCGAATTTCTGATGGGCCCATTTTCCACCATTATTACCACTTGTAGGGGGAGGAGGAGGAGGAGGAGGAGGAGGAGGAGGAGGAGGAGGAGGAGGAGGAGGAGGAGGAGGAGGAGGAGGAGGAGGAGGAGGAGGAGGAGGAGGAGGCCAGCCAGGAGGAGAGGAGGAGGAGGAGGAGGAGGAGGAGGAGGGCCTCCTCGTCCTCATCCTCCCTTCTCCCCCGTCCTGCATAGGGTCGTGGCGGCGGAGTTGGCCCGCCAACTTCTGGCGCCCGCGCCCGCGAGCCTGCGGGCCCTCGGAGAGCCGGGCACCCGCAGCCTCTGCGCACGCCGGGCGCCCTCGCCCGAGCTCGGGCCAAGGGGGCCAGCGCGCGTGGATCAGGCTCGAGGACTGCCGCTCGGGACGATCGAAATGGGTACTCCAGTCGGGGGAGCGTAAGACCCGGGTTTGCCGGGACTCGGGTTCGCCATCGTTTTTTGACGACCGCGCCTCGGATTTTGACGAGGAGGAGTTTCGTGGGATGTCTGCAGCGGGAGGCCTCGTCAAAATGCAGGCTCGGCCTCGTCATTTTTTTAACGACCTCGTCGGGGATTTCCGAGTCCCCCGTACCCGGGTCTTACGTCTCCCCGATCCAGATTTCGTAAGAAAAAGGGAGGGGGTCACAACCCTCCCAGACCAGAAGTTTTAGACCCCCCCCCCAGACCATCCAGGAGAGGGCGGCACTCTGCCCAGGCCCCCGCGAACCCTTCAAGACAGCTCAAGTCGGACCCCCCCGCCAGATGTGACCCCCCCTACTTTATTATGGAATCCGGAGTGCGGCGTACGGAAAGAATGGGTACAATGCCCAACAGCAGTTCCGGTTCATTCTGACGGGGCTCGCTGTCCGCGCCGCCGCGGAGGTTGTTCTCTGAAGACGAGGAGCCGCCTGCGCAACAGCGGCCGCTGTTGGTTTTGGACAGCATGTGTTGTTGGGCATTGTGCCCCTTTTTCCCGTACCATTTCGGGCGTCCAAAGCCGCAGAGAGATGGGGTCCGGGGCTCGAAGAATGCCGCAGAGAGATAATGCAGTGAGCGGCGTGAATCAGGAACACTTGCTTTTCAAGAGGGGCTCGGTCGTTCCTCAGGCCTGCATGCGTTGTTCCTCGTTCCTTCTGCGCCATCTATGATCTAGCGTGCCTTCTGCGTTCTACCTGGGAAAAGGGGCTTCGCTCCTCATTTCTCGCTCCTCAGGTCAGGCCGATGACTGAAAGGGGCTCGGTCGTTCCTCAGGCCTTCATGCGTTGTTCCTCGTTCCTTCTGCGCCATCTCTGATCCATCGTGCCTTCTGCGTTCTGCCCTGGAAGAAAAGGGGCTTCCTTCCTCACTTCTCGCTCCTCAGGTCAGGCCGACGTCACTTCTCGCTCCTCAGGTCAGGCCGACGACTGTAGAGGGGGCTTCGCTCCTCCTTTCTCGCTCCTCCTTTCTCGCTCCCCTGGAGAAGAGGGGCTTCGTTCCTCACTTCTCGCTCCTCCGGTCAGGCCGACGGCTGGAGAGAGAGATGGGGCCCGGGGCTCCGGTCGATCTGTCCTGCGAGGCTGCAGCTGTGCGCCGCAGCGTCGGGCCCCCAGGGGGGGATGTCCCCGGGGGCCTCCCCGGAGCGGCGCCGGAGCCGCCTCGGCCCCTATGGGGGCGCGTGCATGTCAGGAGGGACAGAACACACAGAGACACAATTCCTCGTCGATTGCCCAGCAAATATGGGAAAGTCTAGGAAGTGGGGGGGACAACAGAAGCACAGAAACTATGGGAAAATATGGGAAGTGGGGGGGAAGCACAGGAACTGTGGGAAAATGTGGGGCATCTTTTTATTTGTGTGTGTATTTTTTGGTGTGTCCTGGTGCCCCTTCAACGTAGCGCGCCTTTGGGGGCGGCGCGGGCGGCGCCGCCAGGGGAGGGAGTGCAGCGTCGGCCCAGGAGCTCCGCGCGGACCTCCGCGCGGTCCTGCCCAGACAGGCGGCGTCCCTGCGTCTGCGAGGCACCTCCTCCTCCTCCTCCCTCCTCCTCCTCCTCCTCCTCCTCCTCCTCCTCCTCCGTAGCCATTTTGGCTCAAGATGTATAGTTCCTCAGGGGAACAAGTGGATACCGCTAGTCCGCGGCAGACAAGACCCTTGGCGGTCTGGCAGAGATTGTTCCTCGATCTGACGCTCGCCCCCACGGGTAAACGGAGGCTTTTCCCGTTCCTGTGCGTACGAACGTCTCAGTCGCAATGGGGCTCCCCGACGCTGCTTCGCTCGCTCAGGTTGCCCAGGAGATTGACGACATGCCCACCTTCCCTGATGATGATCGTGCTGAAGGACACGGTGCTCAGGGCTCGCCTGAACCCAAGTACCCGCGCACCGAGGTCGGCAAGGGTTCCTCAGGCAGCGGCAAGGGTGTCGCCAGCCTGGCCTCCCGCGCCGCCGCTGCTGGTGCCGCGCTCGTCTTCGGGCGCTCGGATCAGCTCACTCATTCTCCTGATCAGCCTGCTGTCAGTGCTCCTGTGCCTGCTGGTGGCTCCCTCTCTGGTCCTGACCACGCTCGTGCACCCGCTGGGCATGCTGCTCACGACTACCCCGACGAGTATATCAAAGCGGTCATCGCCGATGGCGTTGCCTCCCAGTTCAGCGAGCTCCGCTCGGAGCTCGAAGGTCTCGTCGCCTCGACGGTGGGTGACACTGTCAAATCCAGCAACGCCTCAATCTTGCGTACCCTGGCTGTGCTGCAGAAGCAATTGGAAGATCAACCTGCAGAGCTCGACCAGAAGGCGATGGCTACTTTTCGTCCGCAGCTTGACGAGCTCTCAAGGAAGATGCAACGAGAAATTGATGACGTCACAGGAAAGGTCGCCACTCTCAGCATCGAGCTTGACTCACACACAGAGCAGCTTCGCCAATTACGAGCAGAGATGGCCGAGCTGCGTGAAGGACTTCATGTGGCCAAGCGACAGGAAGCGGCCCCCTCGCCTCCCGCCAACTTCGACCGCCAGACCGACCCTGCGGTGGTGGTTGCGATGTGTACCAAAATGGTTGGTCTGTCACAAGTACGCGATGTTCTGGCTCCGTTCCTATCTGAGCTTGGATTCGAAGCAGACCAATACACCCTTTCTCGCCCGTCTCCGACTCCTGCCCGCAGGTTTCTCATCAAGTTCAACGGGGCCACCGGCCTCGCCTCTAAGAAGGTTTCGAAGGTGCTCAGCAATCTCCGCCGCAACGATCAGTGGAGGGTGTTCAACGTCGTTGCCTCGGGTGCCGCCGCCGACGGGCGCCTCCACTTGGGGCCCGACAAATCTCCTCGCCAGGTTAAGACGGAAATGGCTCTACGTCGGATCCGTGGTGCATGCGCTGACAAGTTCGGGGGACGGTGGTCGGTTGACCGCGAGCGTGGCATACTCAAGAACGGATGGACCAACGTGCTCAAGATCCAGGCGAACCCCGATGACGCTCCTTTCACCGTGCAGTTCAACCAAGAGGGCATCCTGGACCTCAATCTCACACGTGCAGACATCCAAGCAGTGGTGGATGAAACCACCGCCCCCCCACCTCCTACGACATGGTGTCTTTGACGGCTTCATGCAGCTCTTTCACACTCCGACCCGTGGGAATGAGAATGAATCGATGCGATTCATCACTTGGAATGCTCGAGCTCTGTTACAGTACCGAGGAGCGAAGAGTAGACTCAAGGCTTCATATTTGAAGAGGTTTCACCTTCCTGGGTCCATTCTTGCACTACAGGAAGTACATCAAGATCGTCTGCAGCTCGAAGACTATCTCTGTCGTCTTCATCGGGATGCTGTGGTCCATGCTTCGTTTTGCCCTGTCGACGCTGGGGGTTCGTCGGCAGGAGGGGTCGCCACTATCTTACCGAAGCTCGCGTCTGAGCTTGATGTTACCAGCAATGCTTCGGCTATCGTGGAAGGAAGGGTCCTTCGAGTCGACATAGTCGGGCAGGGGTTTCAGCTGGTGCACTTCAATATCCACAATCATGGTCTCAACGCAGTGCAGATCGACGAGATATGTGCGGAGATCGACGCTGCGCGGGTACGGGCGGCCGCTGACCCTCTTCACTTCTTGGTGATCGTGCAGGGCGACCTCAACTTCGGCCCTGATGAAGCGTTGCTCCTCCAGCGGCCTGAACCAGCTCGGGCTACTGATCCTCGGAATCATCGTGCAATGGCTGCTCGGTGGCTGAGGGCCTTGGGATTTTTTCTCGAGATTTCTTCGGAGGCGCCGACACACTACACTAAGGACACCAACTCGGTCAGCTGCCTTGATCGGTTCTTCTGCACGGTGCCAGGATGGATGATGTGCCAAATGTGTGCGGAGTCCGCCACCATCGGAGAGCCTGAAGAATTATCTCGTTCTCTGATATCGGACCACGCTGCGCTGCTCACGGTTCTTCGCCAACGACACGCACGCCCCAGGTCTGAGCAGCCAGTGCCTCGCCATATCTTCGAGAGCCCTCTCTTTCGGCTACGTATTGAAGGCATGTTCAAAGACGGGGCTGGCGCTGAGATGATGTTCTCGGCGGCAATCTACCAAGAACACTTCAAGGATATGTTGAAAGAAGCTGCCCGTGAAGTTCGTGACTGGATGTTTGTCCACCATCCTGCTGGCGACGAAACCGCGTTGCTCGTCGCCCGTGGATGTGCGCGAGCAGTATGGCGGCAAGATCTTCTTCTTGCCCGTCGACTGGTAGAGACCTCGGCTACAGCAGCGGACATGCTCGACATCGGAGGCTCACAAGTCGCCCTTCGACATCCTGAATCATTTCACATGTGGACGGATGGGGTCCACATGAGGCTCCTGGAAAAAGAGATCTGTGCTGCTGCTGACGCTGCTGCAAGCTCTCGATCGACCCGTCCGCCCTCTTCCTTTCGTCGTCGTCAGTTGTTGGAACGCCAAGCTGCGATATGGGCCCCGTTCTCACGGAGGTTGGTTCTGCGTGCTGTTCGTGGCGGAAATCGGCTCGCTGCACCTTCTGAGGAAAGGGTTGCTGCCCTCACGGAATATTGGCGTCCTGTCTTCTCTCGCTCGGAAGTCGATCTCGGAGCCGCTCAGACTTATATCGAACAGCAGTGCCCCTCTCCTGTGCTCCCTGATGTTCCCCCACCCTCAAAAGCGACGCTCCGTAATATTGTCTCTCGCGCTCGCCACTCTGCCCCTGGGATTGACGGATTGCCGTATGCCGCATGGGCCGCGGCCGATTGCTGCCTGGAAGTATTATGTCTTATGATGGACTGGATCTTGCGGGGCCAGTCGCTCTTCGACTCGGCCAGCGTCACTCTGCAAGCGTACCTGCCTAAGGGATCGGAACGCGAAGACCTGGCCTCTGGGGGCTGTATTCGCACTGCTGACAAGATCAGGGTCCTTGGTCTCCGCAACACCGACCTGAAAATACTGACGTCTGCCGTGGACCGATCACATAAATGTGTTGTCGTCTCCCTCGTTCCCCTGTCGCAGCGCGGCTTTGTCCAGGGCCGAAACTTTGGGTACAACATCCTGGAGCTTGACGGCGTCAGTCGTATGGCAGGGGCCCATCCGCTGGCCCCGTCTAGGATGCCTCTGTTGGTCTCGTTCGATTTCGGCCAGGCCTTCCCGAGCCTCTCTCAGGAGTTCATGATGCTTTTCCTCACTCATCTTCGCTTGCCACTCCCAGTGATGCACTTTCTCACCTGGTTGTACTCTGCGATAGAAGGGGTTGTGGCCTTTGGTGGCCTGCTCCACTCTGTGTATTGGCTGAGGTCGGGGATCATACAAGGCTGTGGCCTCTCTGGGACCTTGTACGCGTTGTGCGCGGCCCCGTTCCTGAGCGACCTGGAATGCTCTCTGGAGGACTCTGGACTTGGCCTGGCTAGGGCCTGCGCGGACGATATCGGGGCTGTCTTGTTCGAAGCTCGCGGGCTCCAAGTGCTACATCGTGTTATGACTTCTACGAAGCTCTTTACTGGGCTCTGCCTCAAGGTCAGTAAATGCAAGGTCACCCCATTACATGAGACATTTAGCCCTGAACTTCGAGATAGGACACGTGCTCTCCTCGGTCGGCTTGTTCCCGAATGGCGCACTTTCGAGGTCGTGGCCCACCTGGTGTACCTTGGCGTTCTCTTGGGACCCGACGTCACGATCCAGATGCGGTGGGACGCTGCTCGGTCGAAACTAAAGTTACGGGCCAGGCTCCTTGGTTCTGGCTCCGCTCCCCTGGGGATCAACGGCGTACTCTACCGATCAAGGGCTCTCCCCGTCTTGTCTTACCTGGCTCAGTTCTTTCCCCTGCCTCCCAGGATGGTCGCTTTCGAGCTCTCTGTGCTTACTCAAGTATTCCGTGCTCCCATGGGTACTCTGTCTGCTCCTGGCTGGGCCCAGCTCTATGCGTGGGGCGGCCCCAAGATCCCACTCATGCAACATACATGCGCCGCTGCGTGGGCCCGAGCCGCCACCATCACGTTCAGCGAACATGCCCACATACGCTCTAACATTACTAACACTACACGTTCATGGAATGATGATCTGCTGCTGGGAAGATTCGATGATGCTTTTCTCGCGACCAGTCGCACACGGCAGGATTGGATGTGCGACGCTGGGCGGCACTGGCGGCTACCGCCCATCCTGCAGACCTACGCCTGGATTCGGCAAGGCTCTACGTGTGCTGGCTACCCTTCGGACATCCTTCGCTGCTGTACCTCTGCGATTGCGTTGGAAATGTTGGTCACGGAACGAGCCCGCAAATTTCAGAGGGCGGCCACCACAACACTACACGAGCAGTTCGTCACTCCGTTCCCGTTGTGCGTTACCTTCGAGACCAGGCTGGCTCGCTACTTTACCATGTATGAACCCTTCTTACATCAGGTGCCGTGGGAGGCGATTCAGATGTTGATGCGGCTGCTGCCCACGAGCTGGGTATTTCCTGTTATTAAGACATGGGCCTCCGCTTGGCTCACAAGTTATCGGATAAGTTACTCTTCTGGGAAACGGCGGTGTATCTTTGGGTGTCATACTGGTGCTGACAGGCAGTGCCACTACATGCGATGCCAGCGCCTGATACGGGCTGTCGGCCGTGCTCTGGGTCGCTCACTCCCTACTTTTCTCCATGAGCGTCTGTGTCTGACGGCACCGTGTGTGGAACGGGTGGAGGAGATGGTGGTTATGTACACTACGTATCACACTGTGCGTTATCGTGGGGGAGTCACCACTACTGCTCTGAGCGCTGCGACTCGGGCTGCGGTCAGAACTCTTCGAATGGCGTCTCCAACAGACCAGCTGGATAAGAAATGGAAACCGCCGCCGCTCATCATGCCGACGCTGCGCACGGTCACCGATAGTTCCTCCACTTCCTCGGCTGACGACCCCGACCCTGCCCTTGTCGCTCGGGATGCCGCAATCGAGGATAGCCTGGCCCCTGGCCGCTCCCCATGTCTGACTCCACGGCTTGTACCTACGACACCAAGCCCTGGCACCCCATCGACGCTGATCGCCACACCCGAACGTGTCGAGCATTGTGAAGACAGTGATGTCAATGTTACTGGCAGAACGCAGAGTCCTGGGCACGGGTGCTCCTCGAGCCCGTTGCTGCAGGCTCAGTCGTCGCCATTGGAGCTGGAGGTCACTGGCAGAACGCAAAGTCCCATGCAGCAGGCCCAGTCGTTGCATATGCCGCTGGAAGCTTCTGGCAGAACGCTAAGTCCTAGGCACGGGTGCTCCTCGAGCCCGTTGCTACAGGCTCAGACGTCGCCAACGTTGCTGGATGCTGGGGGAAATCCTGGCCGCTGCGCTACGAGAATGAACAGTGAGTGTGGCGCCGAAAATAATCTGCCGCCCGTCAGCATGCTTTGCCCCCATATCCCTAGCGTGCCCGTCCGCCTTTCGTGTCGCTCCATGGTTGTCCTCTCGACCCGCCCTCTCGCTCCTGAGGAGGCTCCTCCTGCTGCTCCCTCCCTCCATCGCCCTTGTGCGCCGCTTTCCGCGGCTGTGATTGAAACACGGCTCGCCGCCCACATGCACGTGACGTTCGACCGAGGCAGGCGCCCCCCGCCCGCCTCGCCGCCTGCTGCCGCCGCCCGTGCTTCTCTGTCCTCCGTTCTGGTCACTGGTGTAGCCAGTTACTCGAGTGTGGAGAAGTGTGCTCAGCTGTTGAGCTGAGCACAGTGGTCGGTCGGAGGCACCTCACCCCTACGCTGCGCTCCTCCTCCTCCTCCTCCTCCTCCTCCTCCTCCTCCTCCTCCTCCTCCCTCCTCCCCGTCCTCCTCCTCCTCCTCCTCCTCCTCCTCCTCCTCCTCCGCGTCCCTGTCCCCTCCTCCTCCTCCTCCTCCTCCTCCTCCTCCTCCTCCTCCTCCTCCTCCTCCTCCTCCTCCTCCCCCGACCCCGCGGCCACTTCCCCTGGACGGTGTTAGCCTCCCGAGGCGTTGTCTGGCCGCCCCGAGGCCTGGGCAGGGCCCCGAAGGGCTGGAAGCGAGGACCAGATTGTCGTCTCGAGTTATCGGAGCTCCAGAACTCTGGGTAGAGTCAACCCGCACAGTAAGGATGGGCATCCTTCCCAGGGGTACCCTTGCATCCTTGCCTCCTCGGTCCATCCTTGGCCACTTTCGTTGGCGGCGCCCCGCTCGAAAAGCTTCGAAATGGGCGTCCAGTGCCCTTGCATCCTTATCGCACATTCTTATGATACGGGCCGACTGTATGTGTAACGTCGCCTTTTCTTCCAGGTACGAGCAGCTGTGGGAGGCCGAGCTGCTGCCGCTGAGGCACCCCTGGGCGACGAACGTCCAGGACGAGCTGTTCGGGGTGGGCATGAAGCTGCGCAGCGAGAACACAGGACGACGCCGTCGACGACGACGACGACGACGACGACGACGACGACGACGGCGGCGGCGGCGGCGGCGGCGACCGGCGACCGGCGGCGGGCGGCGACGAGGACGACGACGACGACGACGACGACGTCGACGACGACGACAACGACGACGGCGGCGGCGGCGACGAGGACGACGCCGACGACGCAGACGACGACGACGACGACGACGACGACGACGACAACGGCGGTGGCCGCGGCGGCGGCGACGACGGAGACGACGATGACGACTTCGACGACGGCGACTGCGACAGCGACTGCGACGACGACGAGGATGGTCGCCCCGCGGCCACGAGCACACCTTCGAGCGGGTGCAGCTGGGCCGCTGGCTGCGACGCGCCTCGGAGCGCATCCGGCCCGAGGATCCGGAGAGGAAGCAGTACCGATGCGGTAGGTTCGCGTCGTGTCGACCCCAGACCCCCTCGAGTTGAGAAAATATCACGACGGGAGGTTTTTCTATATTTTTGGCTTCCGGGGGCCCCCACTGGGCTTCGGGACCGTCAAAAAACGACCGAAGCCGGTCCTGGGGGGAAGGGGTCGAGGCCTCTGGAGGTCGACGTGGCGACAAAAATCGGGGGCGGCAAAGAGGGGGGTGATGACTAGGGGGGGGTGGATATCATGGCGTGGGCCATGATACTTCCCCAGATTTCATGGTGCCTCCTATTTTTTCCTTACGTCCCTGGCCCCCCCATTGGGCGCGCACATGCCGCCGGCCATGATTTGCGCCCCCCCTCTTGGACGCCCCCCTCTTGGCCGCCCCCGAAAAAATCACGACGTCGGGGGTCTGGGACCAGCCGCGGCCCCACGGCCGGCGTGCACCATTGCTTGCCAAGCCGCCCCAAGCCTCGCCCGAAGGTGCCAGCCCCTCCCGAGCTTCGGGTTGGGGGGGTGCACGGGTCCCATCGTGTTTCTTCAGGGTTCTGGAGTGGCCCCCCCCCCACCGGAAGCGAGCGATCCCAACGGTGACTTCGGGTCGGGCTGGGGTGGCTTGGCAGGTAGTCAGGCAGTTCGGCGCTGAGCGCCGCCTGCGACCCAGAATTGGTCGATGCTGAGCGATCCGACTTGTCGGAACGGGCCGCTCGTTCCAGGCTGGAGGATCCCCGCGGTGTCGGAGGCCAACGCCAAAGTCGACACGGCACGAGCCTGCCGCACCATGCCGCCACCCATCCCCCGGATGTCGCCCGCCGGGGCCTCCCGGGGAGGCCCCCCGTCGCCACCGCTGGGTTCGCCCCGAAATCTTGGCCAGAGGGCACCCAGGGACTTGGCTTCGCTCGGACGTGTGCGTTTTGATCGGTCAGGACCATCGAGAAGCCTCTCTGGGCCATCTTGCAAAGACGCGCGCGCAACCGAAAGCTGCACGGGGAGTGGACGTCCGAGCGATGGCGAGGGGAGCGGTCCGGGGGGCAGCGGTATGGGCACTTTTTTCGGCCCCGCCCAGACACGCTAACATGAAGTCGGGCCTGTCCCTCTACAGGTGGAATGTTCAAAAATAGTACAACAATAGTTTTGGGACGGTTTTTCCACTATTTCTGAATAGTTGTTGGGGCAGATTTTCGACCCTACAGGACGATTTTTCATACAAAATCGGCCTGTATGGGGGACAGGCCCGACGTAACGCTACCACCAAAAGCGTGCGTCGCCGTTGGACGGGGCGAGGCGCGCGCCGAGGAGTGCACTTCTGGCACAGGAGGGCCTGCTCCGTGGCGGGCTCTGTCTGGCCGTGCCGCTCGGGAAACGATGCACGGCAAGACGGGTGTATCGATGATCCATAAGACGTGCGTTCGCCCAAGCGTGTGTGTTTCATGGAGGATGACGATGAATAAATGACCGGGGGTCGTGTTCACGCGGCGGCGCCCAGGATGACGATTCGAAAGAACCGGCCGCGGGCTGGAACACCTCTTTTGGTCGTAAACAAAATCGTTCTCCTCCAGTCAGAAACTTGTGCAGAAAGAGCAGAAAGCTATTTTTTAATCGTTCCCTCCCATTCTTTTTATTAATCGTCATCCCGCATTATCGATGCTCCATAAGACGTGCGTTCGCCCAAGCGTGTGTGTTTGCCCCGCGCGGTTCCGCCGATCGCGGCCCCCGCTGCGCCGCCCACGCCGTTTCCGAGGGGCCTCCCCTGACAGACACACGTTGGCCTTGGCATCGCTCGGACGTGTGCATCTTTCCTTCAGCGAGGACCATCGAGGAGCACCCTTGATCATTTGGCGAAAAAAAAAACACGCACGAAACCGACAAAAAACACGGGGAATGGACGTCCGAGCGATGGCCAGTGGCGCTGACACACGCTCTGAGGATCATCGGGTGTACTCAAGGTAGGGTCGGACGCACGCCTCCGAGGAGGGCACGCATCCCACGTTTTTATTTCAGGAGGGGAATATCACAGACACAATGAATCGTCGATTCCAAGGAAGATATGGGAAGATATGGGAAGTGGGGGGGGGGAAGACAAAAACCCAGAACATCTGGGAACATAACCGGGGGAATCCTGTTCTTGGTGTGTATCTGTTCATGTGTCCCTGGGCCTCTTTCTTGTCTCCCCAGAGGAGGTGCCCGGGGAGCGGCGCTGCCTCGAGTGGGACTCCGCGCAGTACTCGCGCCACTTCTTCGCCCGGCACTGCAGCGTCATGGACGTGCTCAACTACGCCGGCGACTTCGGCGTGGCGCCCCACGTGGCGCCAGGTCCCGAGCTCCGACGCGTCGAGCGAGTCGGGTAGGAGATCGACTGCCGAATGGGTTCGCCCGGAAGTTGTTGTTGCTCGGATCTACGGAGGGTGCGCGCACCTGGCGTAGATCCACGAGCACTCCACGTCGTTGTCGCAGCTGCGACGAACATATGAATTTTGGGAGGCATCGATTTTTGTAGGCGGCCCCCTCGCCATTCGAGCATTGCAGCATCGCGCCCTGATCTATCCCTCCTCCTCCTGCTCCTGCTCCTCCTCCTGCTCCTCCTGCTCCTCCTCCTCCTCCTCCTCCTCCTCCTCCTCCTCCTCCTCCTCCTCCTCCTCCCCCTCCCCCTCCCCCCCCTCCTCCTCCTGGATCTGAGGGGGGAGCGACGGGCAGCGGCGCTACGTGGTCGACATCCACGACGCTGAGGGCACGATCCCCGCCGGCTCAGTGGGCATCGCGCTGTGCGGCCAGGTCTTCGAGCACCTCCGGCGGCCCCACGCTGCCATCCGCCAGCTGTTCCGCGCGGTGGCCCCGGGCGGGTGCCCGAGGCAGACGAAGGGGCATGGCACACGGGAGCAGTGTGTGTGTGTGTCTCTCGAGCAATCCAGTTACGTTCTGTGCAGTCCATGCGGAGCAATCTGTGTGGTGCAGTCTGCGTGCGGCCGCGGGTGGCGAGGCGGCGGCGGGGCGGCGACGGCGGCCAACCAGGCGTGGGGCCCGACAAACGAGCTCGGCGCCTCAGAAGACAAGGGGTCCGCGCGGGCTGGCGCGGGCCCGGAGCGGGCCAGGGGCAGCGCGGTGGGCGCCGCGAGGGGTCCTCCTCCTCCTCCTCCTCCTCCTTCTCCTCCTCCTCCTCCTCCTCCTCCTCCTTCTCCTCCTCCCCCTCCTCCTCCTCCTCCTCCTCCTTCTCCTCCTCCTCCTCCTCCTCCTGCCCCAGCGCCGAGTCGAGAAGTCTGTGTTATCCGTAAGGGCTTCGCCCCCATGCCGCCAGCCCCCCTTCTCATAGAATGGGACTTGCCAGAGCTGTGTTGGGATGTCTGTGCGCTGACGTGAAGCAGTGTCGGGACTTCACAAACTGCAGAATATCTCACAACTGCAGATATTACATAATGTTCGAGGGTTTATGGTTTCGGGGCGCGAATATCGCGTAGCTTACGAGGGTTTACGATTTCGGGGACGCGAATATCGTGTGAGTTACGAAGGTTTATGGCCTCGAGGACGCAACTAGTGCATACTTTACGAGATTGTATGGCCTCGGGGACGCGAATATTGCGTACTTTATAAGGGTTTACGGCCTCGAGGGCGGGAATATGGTATGATGTTCAAAGGTTTGGCCTCGGGGACGCAATCATCGTATCATTTACAAGGGTTGATTGCTTCGGGGACGCAAGCATCGTCTAATTTAAAAGGAATTGAGGCTTCGGGGACGCGAATATTGTACACTTTACTCAGGTTTATGGCCTCGGGGACGTGAACATGGTGTAATTTCTGTGGATGATTATGGCCTCGGGGGCGCGATTCTTATGTATTTTTACGTGCCCCACGCCCCCGCAGGAATTCTGAGAACCTTCCCAGGGCGTGGTACAAAAACTTGTTTGGGGCTCCCACCCCTCGCGAGGACAGCAACAATTAACAGTAAGGAAGCAGAAAGCAGGACTGCAACAGTGGAAACTGGAAGCTGCAACTGGAAGAGGGAGCTGCGGTCCTCATCCTCGCAGCTGGGTGGCCCCGCAAGGGGGGCCGGCGGATTTTTTTGGTGCTCCTGCTTCGAGGTACGTCGTGTGGTCGGCGCCCTCGCCATCGACTTCTTGTCGCCCCCGTCACGTCGTCCTCGTCATCGACTCCTCGCTGCCCTCGCCTTCCCTTGCTTCTTCGCCCAACACGCCCATGAGACTGCAGCGGCGCTTCCCGCTCTTCTCCGATGAGGCTTCTTGTGTTCCTGCTTCGAGGTACGTCGTGTGGTCGGCGCCTCTCTAGGGCGACGAGATCTATACATATCCACTGCTCCTGGCCAGGCCAATCCTGGGCCCAGGAGCGGTGTATACGCCCTCCTGGCCTGGCCAGGGAGGCATATACACAGCTCCTGGGCCCAGGATGGGCCTGGCCAGGAGCAGTGGATATGTATATGATCTCGCCCTACTCTCTCAGCGAGCTGCACGCGCCACCGACGACTTTTCCGCTTACACGCAGCGGGGGGGGGTCCCGCGGAGGGGGGGGGCCTTCGAGGTGCTGGAGCTGCACGCCCCGGGGGGCGGCGGCAGCTCGTCGGCTACTGCTGGGGATGACGGCGCCGTACTGGCGGGAGGAGGATCGGGCATCGGGGATCGAGGATCGATCGATCGAGGATCGATCGATCGATCGAGGATCGATCGATCGATCGAGGATCGATCGAGGATCGAGGATGGGGGAGCGGGGAGCGGGGATCGAGGATCGAGGATCGAGGATCGAGGCTCGAGGATCGAGGATCGATCGAGGCTCGAGGATCGGTGGAGGACCGGGGAGCCAGGAGATCGATGGAGGGTCGGGGTCGGCCGAGGATCGGTCGAGGATCGCGCAGCGCGCCGCGAGCGCCGAGCACCGAAGAGCGCGGCACGCCGCTGGCGCGAGTTAGCGCGCCGGAGCGCGCGACCCCTGCAGAGTGAAGGCGAAGGCGACGGTGCGGAGCTCCGGCCCCAGATCTGGGGCCCCAGGAGGAGGAGGAGGAGAGAGGAGGAGGACGGAGTGAGGAGGAGGAGGCGGGGGGAGGGGGAGGAGGAGGAGGAGGAGGAGGAGGAGGAGGAGGAGGAGGAGGCGGAGGAGGAGGAGGAGGAGGAGGAGGAGGAGGAGGAGGAGGAGGAGGAACGCGGGGCGACGTCTCTTCAAAACGTGGACCCGAGAACACAGGTTGGTTGGGAAGCATCGGGACGGTTTAGGTCTCGGTCGTTTTCGGCGTCTCGGAGCCCTCGTGAGATCCAGCGCATGGAACAGATCAAGACGGAGGTTTTTCGCAGACTTCGGCCCCCAGGGGCCCTCGCCGGGCCTCGGGACCGTCAAAAAACGGCCCGGGATGAAACACCGGTCCTGGGGCAGGGGTCGAGGCTTCCGGGGACCGCGCCTTGAAAACAAAGCGACATCGGATCTCTGGGTCTCGAGCGGCATGCGTACGTCGCAGCGCAGAACTGCAGCCGCTCTCCTCGCGGGGCGCAATGCCCCGCGCTGCCCGCAGCACGGCCCAGTCGCCAGGCAGCACCCTGGAGGCGCTCGGCGCGCACGAGCGGCTCACCAGCGATACCCGAGGGGGGGGGACAAAGGCCGAGCACCGCGCGGCGCTCCGCCTCCCGGCGCGGCGCCTCCGACGGAGGGCAACCTTCCCAAGGGTACCCTGGCCTCCTTGCTTCCTCGGTGCATCCTTAGCCGCTTCCGCTGGCCGCGCCCCGCTCGAAAAGCTGCGAAATGGGCGTCCAAGGCCCGTGCATCCTTATCGCGCATCCTTGCTATACTGCTTGACTCTACGGCAGGTTCCTGCGGCGGTGGCGCGCCGGCGTCGCCGGCGGAGGCGTGCAGGATGGAACTCCGCAGGGTAGAGCGGCGCGGAACCACCGAGGGGCACGGCGAGGCCACAGGACCCCGACGGAATCCCACCTGGAACGAGCGGGGCCGCGATCGCCCCAAGGCGGAACGCCCGACGCAGGAGGAGGAGGAGGAGGAGGAGGAGGAGGAGGAGGAGGAGGAGGAGGAGGAGGAGGAGGAGGAGGAGGAGGAGGAGGAGGAGGAGGAGGAGGAGGGCCTGGCGCGCGCCGACTCCGCGCGAACCTGCCGCAGGGGTATAGGGGGCACGCTTCAGGGGCGGCCCGCGCCGAGCCGAGCAGTCTGGGATCAGGAGGGGAAAAACACACAGACACAATTCATCGTCAATCTCCAAGAGAATAGAGGGAAAATCTGGGAGGTGGGGGGGAAGACAAAAGCCAGAAAATATAGGAACATGTGGGGGATTCGGTTGTTTGTGTCTATGTGTGTCCCAGGGCCCCTTCATGGGAGGACCTCCAGACGGCCGGCGCTCCAGGCGTTTCGACGCGCGTGCTCCCCCAGAGGCCTGGACGAAGCTTCTTTTTGCTCGTTGGCGGCGAGGCCGAGGCAGTCCGCCCCGGCGGGGGGCTCCAATCGGGGCAGCCGACAGGCAAACTGCCCGGCGTGCGAGAGCGAGAGAGAGAGAGAGAGAGAGGCGAAGACGAGGGCGGCCGCGCGCAGGCAGGAGGGGGAGGGCGCCCAGACGCGGGAGACTTCCGCGGTGAGCGGGCAGCGCGCGGCCCGCCCGGGGCCTGGAGGAAGCCCTGCCAGGGGTGCGCGGGCACCCAGGCCTGCGGAGGAGGAGGAGGAGGAGGAGGAGGAGGAGGAGGAGGAGGAGGAGGAGGAGGAGGAGGAGGAGGAGGGCGGAGGTGTGCGCAGGTCTCGTCCGGGAGGGCACCGTCGGGCCGAGGAGGGGGGGGGCACGGTCGGTCGCTCGGAATCCACAGGCGGGCGGCCGCGGGGCGGAGGGGTGCGGTGGGGGGGGGAACAGGGGGACAGGAGGGCACGGTCGGGCAGATGGGGGGGGGGAGCACGGTCCGTCGGTCGGTCGGAATAATAGCAGACGGGGGGCCACGGGGCGCAGGGGTGCGGGGGCCTTCGGGGAACGGAGGATGACAGAAGCACAACAACTCGGAGGTCCGCGCGGATTGATGGGATCGGCGCTTGGCCCCCCTCCTTGGCGCGCGGAGCGCGCCAGGGGCGGCGCTGGAGGCGCCGCCAGGGGGCCCCAGCGCGGATCCGAGAAATCTGCGCGGACCCCTTGAGCTTGTATGTTTACGTCATTCTTCGCTCCCCTGGCCCTGAGAGTGGGCAGGCAGCACAGAAACGCGAGCGTGCGGTGGGTTCGCGCCGCGCCGACCGGCGGCGTCGTGGGCCCAGATCGTGGCACTGGCGCCAACGTCGGCGGTGTGCCTCCGCCGAGGGAAGATGATTCCGATTTCCGCGGCTGTGGTGGTGTGCGGGCTTCCGAGGTGGCCGAGAGACACTAGCACCGACACCAAGATCTAGGATTGAGTCGGGCATGTCCCTCCACAGGAGGAATGTTCAAAAGCAGCCCAGAAATACTCTGGGGACGATTTTACCTAACAGCGAAGACTGATGGGTTTCTAATGGGCTAAAAAGAGAGCAGCAGATGACTCCACAGGGGGGTCTGGGCGGGTGCCGGACAGGGTGCCGCAGAAGTCGTTTTAAGCCAACAGTCACACACTTCGTGCTCTTCGACCTCCCAGAACTCCATTCCCGGGCCACATTCTGAATGCCCGGAGCCAAGTGTAGGCCACTTCGTGCTCTTCGACTTCTCAGAACTCCATTCCGGGCCACATTTTGGATGCCCAGAGCCAACTGTAGGCCACTTCGTGCTCTTCGATTTCCCAGAACTCCATTCCCGGGCCACATTTTGGATGCCCGGAGCCAACTGTAGGCCACTTCGTGGTCTTCGAGTTCCCAGAACTCCATTCCTGGGCATGATTTTCAATGCCCGGAGCCAACTGTAGG